ATCACAACTGTTCTAAAAGCCTTTATACACTTTTTCAGCCACAGGGTCTCACTGGAGTAGTCTGTGATAGAAGTAATTAAGAAAACATCTTATCTGATTGAACAACGTCACCTGCATGCCTGATACACTACCCAACAAAAAATAGTCCGGGAATAATTAATCAAGCATTATTTAACAGTCGAGCTAGGTTTGTCAGTTAATTGGAAAAACATTTTTTTAAGTCCAAGAAACCATTATAATAAACAGCCAATCAGAACACCCATGAGACAGTAATCCTGACAAAAGATTTTTTCTCGCACAAAAGTAAGACACGTCACCAGTCAATCAATGCCATCTCAGCTATTTGGCAGATACAGGACAACAAAACCTCCATAATAATAATATACTATGGAAAAATGGATCTATACAGTCAGCCATAGTCTGTCTCACAGTCCCTGAACCACATTATTTTCCCAAATGCCTAGCCCTCTCTGAAGTGCTAAAGCCCTAAATAAAGCAAGTCTAGATTTCCTCAGGTTCTGAATCTCTGGTCACCCTGGGGCTCCTTTTCAATTTAAATGAGCTTGTTTGTTTCTATCAAAATTATATATATTCAGAGACTAAGCATTAGTGTAAGTCAGCCATATGTCACTTGACACCAACACAAACTAGAGTAGGCACAACATGGCATTATAAATTTGTATATATGACAAAAATTATATTGTCCAAAACGAAATGTCTGACAATTTTTTAACAAAATGAAATGAAAATGCACCAAAAAATATCATGATTAATCCATTCTAGTGTCAACTATGCAACAAATTTCTTTCATCAAGGAACCATGCATACTTGAACAGCAATTTGGACAGGAATTATGAGACCTCAGCCTTTAAGGTAAATACTGTATTGAGAAAGCAGCCATATTTCACTTCAATTGCGCAAGAAGAATGGTTATCTTCATCTGCCGCTTCAGTGGGACCAGATGTGAGTCGGGTGAGTTGGCAGATCTATCACAATGTCTGGCCTACTCAATCACACTTGCTACCCCCTGGTCCCTCCCCCTGGTCCCTCCCCCAAGGAATGAAAGAAGATGTGGGGAAGAACGAAGGAGGAGCGGGACACCATGACCCAGCTTGCATGCGCAGCCATCATGACATTTTGGAGCTCCTGCTGGGATTCAAACCAAGCCATCTCTGCCCAGACACCTTGTCTACATGACTAAAGAGCTTTACCCTTGCTTGCAAGCTGCCACGTCGAGATGTCAGCTGTGAGATGACTCCACGCTCCACTGCCCACAAACTGGCTGGAGCCTTGGAGCAATCAGGGGCGTCAAGCTGCATTCAAATTTGTGATTATTTTATTGCGCTTATGCTGTTTGAAGATATGAAATGCTGTCCCTTAGAGCAACAAAGTTCGTTATCATCAACAGATGACACAACGGCTGAGTCTCACCTGACATCATATAAGTAGACATTTTGTAAATGCGTGACCATAAAGAATGATCATTCACAGGGATTATCCTGCCCCGAGGACCAACTTGTTGCCTCAAGGAACAAGAAGCTCTCCTGGTTCTATTGCAATAAAATGACACTTCATTCTCACCTACAATTATTGGCTCAACTCAAGCGATTGAGCTGGTTCGAGGAAAGTAATCATCGATTATTCAATTGCATCACCTAGGTGCATTGAGGGAGGAGGAGGATGCTCCGAATCTATCAAATTAGGCAAGATGGTTTTCACTCTATATCAAAGACTGCATGTCAGCTTCATGTGCCACAACAATCTGACCCAGGTCATCACATGGAATCATAGACTAACAACTAGTCTCTGAAATGAACACATTTTACTGAAAAAAGTTCATAGTAAAAGAAAATATAATGAAAAGGAGCCCTGAGACTTTCTTCATTTCCTGAAGCTGAGGAAATCTAGACTTGCCACATTTTCTAGACTTGCGTGGGCTCTCTTGGATATATTTGCTTCAGGGTCTGTACGACAGACTAATGGAATCACAAAGACTCCCTGAGCTACAGATGACCATTATCAGTGAAATTCAACCCCACAAACAGCAGATCCTGGATGCAAAAGGGAGGTAAATCAGCAGAACTCAACTACCTTTATCAATCACTGAAGCACTTAGTGACACCAATCGTATGGAGGATAGCTTTATTCTATTGACAGTCTCAGCTTATCAAATACATGTACTGAAATACCAAGTGTAAAATGAAGATGTCAACAAAAATGTTCTGTTTGTTATAACAATCACTTATGGCTCAAAAGAGTTACTTGCATTCAAAACTCAGCACAGAGTCTAAAAATATTTAATCAACAATCATTACCTTACATAAAACTAAAATTGGATAAGCTTCAAATCAGCATGAAAAATGGAGTCTGTGTCAAAATCATTTGAATCTAAAAGTGATAAAATATTTGCATCCTTTAAGGATTAAATCTAAAATAGGGACAAAAAATATCCGAGCTTACTGGACTGAAAGTTCAACATAACATCCCTATGTCACAGCTGGCTGAACTGGACAACCACTGTTGCATTTCTGAGATTGCTGGGAACTAGCACCACAATTACCATAATCATTACCATTAGAATGGCTGAGAAGTCGATGAAAGGTTCCACAAACAATCAGTACAAAAGCAACAATAGTCCTGTTAATGAATGGACAAATAATGCTCACTAATCGCTATTGATATATATTTACTCATAGCATCCTTGCTTACATTGTAAGATTTGTTATCGGTTTATGTGTAAATACACTGTTTGTCGCATATTTATAGCATGTGTTTGTTACATTGTAATAGTGTTATCACTGTTATTAATTTGTAGAGTTATCAGTTCGTGTGTATGACAGTTTATCACATATTTATAGCATGTGTTTGTTACATTGTAATAGTGTTATCACTGTTATTAATTTGTAGTGTTATCAGTTCGTGTGTAAGACAGTCTCTCACATATTTATAGCATGTGTTTGTTACATTGTAATAGTGTTATCACTGTTATTAATTTGTAGAGTTATCAGTTCGTGTGTATGACAGTTTATCACATATTTATAGCATGTGTTTGTTACATTGTAATAGTGTTATCACTGTTATTAATTTGTAGTGTTATCAGTTCGTGTGTAAGACAGTTTATCACATATTTATAGCATGTGTTTGTTACATTGTAATAGTGTTATCACTGTTATTAATTTGTAGTGTTATCAGTTTGTGTGTAAGACAGTTTATCACATATTTATAGCATGTGTTTGTTACATTGTAATAGTGTTATCACTGTTATTAATTTGTAGTGTTATCAGTTCATGTGTAAGACAGTTTATCACATTGTTACATTGTAGTAGTGTTATCAGTCTATGTATATTACACTGTTTATCAGATATTCATAGAATGTGTTTGTTACATTGTAATAGTGTTATCAGTCTACGTATATATCACACTGTTAATCACATATTCATAATGTGTGTTTGTTACATTGTAATAGTCTTATCAGTCCACGCATAATACATTGTTTATCACATTGTTCTAAACTCAATCAAAAAATAAAGTCAACACTTATTTTTTTGAGTCAAATTCAGATTTAAAACAGAAATATATATGTGATTTCCACACATGACCACCTCAATAATGTATACAATGATACTCAAATTAACAAGAAGTATATCCTCTGATGGTCTTGTATATCATATCGCAATGACCACTTACTTATCTAGGTGTGTATTGACATGTTGTTTAATTCCTGTCTGTATCTCCCCATTACCTGTAACATTACACTAAACATCATCTTCTGGAGTCTGCAGCATCACATTAAGGCATCTATATTATAAGAAACCTACACTTGCGAATCAAACAGATAAATATTCACAACTGTCAATTAGTAGCATCTGTCTCCCCACCCCCTGCCCCAAATAAAGTCAACATAAAATGCATAAACATCAACACCATAAACCAGATATACTTCCCATACAAACATCCTCACTTTTTGGGAGGTAAGAAGTCAACATTCCTCCACTTCTTAACAATAAAAACAGTACCCACCTCAGCTGGAGAGTCAATTCACCACTTACTAATTCGGGAAACTTCCTCGATAACCCGGGATCTGCATGTGTACAAACGTAAGTAAAAACTAGCAACGCCAAGTGTTACCTGCTTACAGAGCAGACCTCGCTTGCAACTAATTATCTCTAATACATACACAAGGAGAGGGATACAGGCTCTCCATACAAAATAAACAGACTGGAACTTTGTATTCAATATTGTATTCGTATCCCACATGTGCTTTCATTTGAAACATTATCTAAGATTATGCTGGCTGTTCAAAAACATGCTGTTGTTGATGTTTGTTATTAAATCTTGAGTATGAATGGCCTTGAGTCTAGAAAACTGCCTTAAAATTGATGTTTATTTTGGAAATATGTTTGTTGGTAGCCTGCACTTCACAACAATATAGTAAAAATATTGTTGTCATAATTGTTGTGACAGAAAAATACTTTTGATTTGTGGAATAAAAAAATAACTTCATTTGGGGGATTAAATATTATTATTGTTTATGTCTAGACTTGTACAGTCAAATTATAACCATTTATGACCATTCATGTATTAAAGTTGCAGTGATTAATATGACAATAATTGTACTGATAAAAGCGAGCTAAAATGTTACAACGCTTCTGCGACAAAGAAGTCATGTCGTGATCTAACATAATAAACATACTTGTGCCCCAATTTAAACCCCCTAAACATGTTCCTATGAAATAGCAAAAAGAGACGCAACTTCAAAAGGTATTCTGTAACACTCAAAGATCCACAAAACTCTTCTGAACACAGAGGTCACACTACCCTGTTAGACTTGCTCACACATACTGACAAAACTCAAGCCTATTACAGCATCAGGACCTGAAGGAGACAGGGTCCATTCATGCTGCACTGTGAAAAACAGCCCCAAAGCGATCACATTCTTGACCGCATTTACACTCCTAAATCAAATGAGACGTACACACACCACAAAGCAATTTACCTACCTGATTATCAACAGAAGTAAAGTCCATTACTTCTCACAAGTCATCAGTCATGGGCACTTTACATGTTGGCTGCACACACTCAGTAAAATCCATCACTCCGCAAGTACATCCAAGTCTGTGCTACCTGTGAGTGACAAAAACATTCCTGTGAACCATGGCTATCATCCTGGACCAGGTGGTCGTAACACGAGCTCTCCACTTAGCTCTACCACCTGCCGTCTCCTCCACACAAATGCTCTGACAGTCCCTACGTTGCAACCTTCAGCTGTGAGTTTTTTTTCAAATTAGGTTAAAATGTTTTACAAAATACTCAGTATGACAGTATGAATTTAAACAGGATTCGAAATTCCCTTTCAAACAAGGTGCCATATGCTGTGTGAAAAATTTATATAAACAAATCCCAGAGATAATAATTATACCTGTGACAATTCAAATGAAACAGATTGAAATTGCCCTTCAAAAGATTTCCCATATGTTTGACTTAGAAATAATTACTTCAGGTCAAGGTTTGAGTGCACTGAGAATTACCACAGTAAGAATCAAGGAAATCCTTCCCACACTCAACAAATCCTCCTGCCTATCCGTGACAGCAAGTGAGACTACCCTAAACCACAGCAAAGATCCTCAGATCGAAGCTAAGACAGCCAGGACCAATCCTTGAATGACCAAAGCCAATAGGACAGGCCTTGTCGATAGTGGTCAGTGTCACATGACCCCTGCTTACATTAACGATGCACTTATCACCGGGCTACCTCTCCCACACTCCTTCACCAATACAAAGGAGAACTTAGGGGACCCAATTTCACACTATTAGGGCCGTATCCCTCTTCAGGAAAGGGTTACGTTGTGACCTAATAGTTTATTTTACAGCTGACTGACTGCCTAACAATGCCTGCTAACACCAGCCTTCCTATTCTAGCCACTGAGCTATCACATCACATCTTTTCAAGCTATTTCAACAAAATGGCTACAATAAGAGGTCGGTGATAGTTGTGCTCGTCACCTACCAGGGCAGTAACCAAGTACTATCTCCACACAGATAATTAAAAGGTTATCTGCTGATCACTGTGTACTGATAAAGAATTCAAGGCAGCTATTCCCATATGGGTTAAGCCTGGGTATCTGCCACAGCTTCTGTAAGATCTAACTGAGGAAGATCTGTCTCTACAGAGGAGCAAGTATTCTTATAAATGTAAGAGCATTCTTATAGCCTTGCTCCAAGGCTGTACTGAATGCTGGGCCCATGCATGTATAGTAATTCTATCCTTTAAAGAGGCAAGTCTAGATCAGGGGACAGTAAGGATGCCAGTATGTTATTTATAAGTTTTTAGAAATTATCATTTAAACTATAAATTATTACCTTGTGCAAGTCTTCTATAAGAGAAAACTGAGGAAGAGTGAGTGAGTGAGTTAAGATTTTTAGTCACATCAGCAATATTTCAGCCATATCGTGACTAAAGCAAGTTATAAATATACCAACAATTTAAGTGAAATTATAAAATTCTGCCAACGAAGGACAGTAAAATAACTAGATTATCACAGATATATATGTAAAACTAGTAATTGAATCTAAAACATTTTAACTATGGGGGACAACACAATATAAAAACAGGCTATAGATCGCTAACAACTGAAGGTAGATCCCCATACTAGGGACCATGGGGACTTACAGTACATTTGCTTCCTGCATGGACCCTAGCTGGATTTACACCATCCCTTCAGCCGTCAGCAAGTTTTGACAAATTAGCCATAAGTTAAAATAACACATATTCTACGATTAAAACTAATGGTATATTTAAATTTAGTTTGAATGTTTTAGGACTTATGTACCCCCACAGGAGGACAATAATTTTACAGTGCTTCAACCCCCTGTGAGGATACAGCCACTGAGGAAGATCTGTCTCTAGAGAGAAGCAAGTATTCTTGTAAGGCAAGACTAACGCTTAGTCTCTGAATATATATAATTTTGATAGTAACAAGTAAACCGATATAAATTAAAAAGGAGCCCCAGTCAGATGGGAAATTCAGAACCTGAGAGAATCAAGACTTGCTTCATTAACGGCTATAGCATTCCAGGGAGGGCTAGGCAGCAGGTAAAATAATGCGGTTCAGGGACTGTGACAGACTACTGTAAGGCTAACATTAGCCTTTTTCCCAAGCTCTACTCAAAGCTGAGCCCATGGATGTATAGTAATTCTAAAGACTCAAGTCGACATAAGTAGACAATACAAGGACAAAGTCTAAGGACTCAATTATTTATATTTTTAAGAAATAATCATTTAAATGATCAGTTATTACCTCAGAGACTTGTGCAAGTCCAGGCTAACATAAACAAAATCCTTTTATCCAGATGCAACTAACTCATACAAAATTTAAATAATAGTCTGAACTTTACTTAATTTTAATTTTAATTTAATTTACCAACACAATTTACACCTTCTGACAAGGAAAAGGAAATTATCAATCATTATTCATGCTTGATCCGTTAATAATGAAAGTCAAGTGGCTGATTGCTATTGCAGAGTAGTAAAACGTCTCTTAGGAGATGGACAAAAATATATATTTTTTAATGGCCACACATCAAATATTTATCAAATGTTTGAGAAATTCACAATGTTTGAAATACAAAACTAAAATTAAGTGAAAAATACAAGATTTTATCACAGCTGTTTGTAAGAAATGATGACTTATAAATATTCACATCTTTATCTTAATACTAGTGAGTGAGTTTAGTTTTATGCCGCACTCATATCTTAATTCTAACTTGAAAAACAATCAGTTATCTTTTGGTACCTTGCAACTAATAAAATTGAAGTGCTGCACATGACTTTTTTCTGTTACATCGCCGCAGAGTCCATAAAATATATGTAAACTAATTGAAGCATCACATTACGTGAGGTAACGAAGGAAACAAGCTATGATTACGTAAGTAAAGTTGATAATATACACAGAATCTAATAACAAAACCAATTAAGTCTGCATAATTGATTTCTTACAGTTTTTGTGCTGGTGTTGATTTCCCACTGTGAGGTATCACATCTCATTTATATTCATACAAAACAAGAAGACAATGTGATGCAAATTTCGCAGAATACAAAACGTCACATCATGAATATTTCATTGATACTACTCTCCTGAGTACAAATGTTGACAGAAATTTATCGTGACATGATTGTTGCATCAACACCCACATTAAAGTGTATTTACATATTACTTAAGCTAAAAGTCACACCAAGTTCTATCAATAATTCATTCTACATATTGACATTGTATCGCCCACCATCTGAAATATGCAACAGTTATTGATGAACAGATTGTGACGACATTGAAATTGTACTATCACATGATATATGTGCCTATAGAAAAGTGCATCTACTGACATTAGTCAAAAGCTAATGCAAAACTTCATGATGTGATGGGGTGGTGGGGTAGTCTAGTGGTTAAAGCATTCGCTTGTCATGCCAAAGGCCCGGGGTTCGATTCCCCACATGGGTACAATGTCTGAAGTCCATATCTGGTGTCCCTCGCCATGATATTGCTGGAATATGTCTAAAAGTAGCATAAAACTAAACCCACTCATGATTTGAGCAGAAAATGATGTTGGGAATTTCAAATTTAGGAAATAGCCTATCTCCCAGACCCAAGAAAATACACCGGTAGGACTCCAACTCAAGTCTACAACGACTGTCTCAGCTGAAATTTAAATACTCTCCGCTCCTCAGGGATTATATATATATACACGTGTGTTTTGAAAATATATATATTTAAATAACACAACATTACTTCAGGCAGTTAATGTCGATCAAACTGACAGCAACCACCATTCAGTGACAGACAAGCTGTTGCCCTCATTGCATATTCATTCCAATAAAAACAACAGCTCAGTTGTATAATTACTCCGTAAACAACAGTGCATACAAATCAACAAGCAGTGTTATTTCAGTTACTTAAAGTCACCATCATGACTCCCTAATTAAGTAACTGTGCCTTATTGATTAATCTTCAGTCTTCACAACTGACTATTCATATATTTGATAAAAATGATAAAGCATTGACAACATACTTTAAATTCCCATATCCACAGTATTAACTGCAAATAAAGGTGACATCAATTACACCATAACAACCATGTTCAAACATAATACTACAACCTGTTTGAGATATATATTAATGAAACACAAAACTGATCGTCATTGTATGTGTATCACTTCTAAATGCCCTTCAAAGACTCTATTGTATGTCAAGTGTATATATAAATAAAGCAGACACCTGATTATCCCTATCAATAGTTGAGTAGTACACATTTTTAACGTTTTCTAAAGCTTCCAAAGAAAGACAGGCCTGCCAATGGGTGAGAGCCAAATTTATCAATTTCAATAAAAGTCTCTCTCTGTATTCTTAATCCATCCTCAAACAATGCTCCTTTCACAATATCATCGCTACCCCTTCATTAGCGAGGATGTATCCCAGGCAGACCCCTAATTGTGTATAGGGTTAATTATCCCTGACAATTGACATCACCTGCCAGCCATCAAGAAGTCTCTGACAAAGAGCTGGTTTAAGGGAGTACCGGATGCTACTGGTAGGCAGGACATGCTTACTTTTTTGGGCGAACACCTGGTGTCATCATTCATTTTCAATGATTCATTTATATTATTTCCAACTATTTTGGTATTACGCCCAGTGGTATCTGGTCTTTGAATGGCATTTAGAAGTCTTACACATGCGGGGGAGAATTTAAGGATGTCTATTTCTTGCTGATGAACAACCAAAAAACAGTCTTCCCTGAACCATATTACTTTCCCCACAGCCGAGCCATCCCTGCAATGCTAAAGCCGTAAATGAAGCAAGTCTAGATTTCCTCAGGTTCAGGAATCTCTGGTCTCCATGGGGCTCCTTTTCAGTTTGAAATGGGTTTATTTGTGCAATCAAAATTATGTATATTCAGAGACTAAGCTTTAGTATATTTACGCCCTGTGGTAGCTGGTCTCTGAATGGCATTTAGAAGTCTCAGACATGCGGGGGAGAATGTAAGAATGTCTGTCTATTTCTTGATGAACAACAAAATACTTTCTTCCCCATTGGTGTCTGTTTCAGCAGATAATTCAGACAGATTATTTTCTG